AGGTATAGGCTGAATGAAACTTGGAATAAAAAAGCTTCTGGGAACATGGTTTCTTTTAACATAGAAAATCTGGACACGAATTTGGGCAAGAGAAGAGAGACTCAGGAGATGTAATAGCTGTGTTTAAGCATCCAAAGAGCTGTCTTCACTTGGACTGCCAATTGAATTTGTTCAGTCTGGCCCAACTGGGAACAAAGAGTGTAAGTTGCAAAGAGGCGAATTCTTTGATTCCAGGAAAAATAAACAAAACAAAACAAAACAAAAAAACCATCCAAAACTTCCTAACAATGAGAGCTATCCAAAAGTGGAATACACCCTCTTGAGAGATGACTCCCTCTCTTTCTTTACAGGACTTTAAGCAGACACTAGATGACCATTTATTTAGTTATAGTGTGGTGGCATTTTTCTTACCTGGCTATATTTGGAACTTCTCTGAATGACTTCTTCACCATGCTCCCAGTAGCTCAGTACCGGGACAAGTTTATCACCCCGTAAAAGCTCATCAGTCATGGTACTCTACCTCATCACTACTCTCTGATTCTCTGATTGGAGTGTGGGGCCATGGACTCCAAATCTTTATTTAAGGAAAGAGCTCAGTTCAGACATTTCCTCATTTCTTGCCTGACTGTACTACTTTGGGACTTCTCTGGCTGATTTCCCCACCATGCCCCCACATCTGATGCTTTCTCCTTTCCAAGTTTTTCACCTTCCTTTTGTGTTTTGTCTTCCATCATTGGATTGGAAGTTCCTTGATAGCTGTATCTCCAGCACTTAGCACATTGCCTGGCATAGATTAGGCACTTAATATATGTTTATTGACTATTGACTAGATACGCACTAGATGTCTTCTGATACCCCTTCCAACTCAAAATGTTATTTGATGATGAGATTCCAGCTTCCCTATTGCTAACTAAGAGATGGTAACCACTAAGAAGGAAGAGACTGGGATTGGTAATTGGAAGGTTCATGTGGCCTAGTAATGGAGGAGTAGGAGAGGTATGTTTTGGGCCTGTGCCATGTGTTACCTAAACAGGGGACTTTCTTGAGAGAAGTGGAAGATTCCCTTACCATTGCATGAACTGAAAGCCAAAGTCTACCTCCCTCCAGAAGAAGGAGAGAGAATTATTGCCTTTCTGAAAATTATCAAGAAAAGAATCTGTGTTTTCCTCTATTATTTCTACCTCTGGTTATAATGCTTCTAACAACAAAGTAGAAGAACACAATGTATCTTTTTTTGTTTTTACTTGACTGAAATTTTTAATGTATATAATTTATATATATATATGTATATATATATATACATATATATGTGCACATATATGTGTAGGGATTAGGAATTCATTAATTTGAGACAGTATCAATCTTTTATTATGAAGAATAGTCATTTAGTAATTTTTAGCCTAATTAAAATTTAAGGCATTAGTTTAAGGTACAAGAAAATATTCACTGAACCTAGATTACAGGAATTATCTTACCTTAGTAAGAAAAATCATCAGATCACAGATTTAGATCTAGAAGATACCTTGGGGGGTGTCATCAAACCTAAGCCCCGCATTTTTCTGATGAATGATACAGGACTCCTTTCCATCAGATGGCCATTTCTCCTCAAATCTTTATTTTTTTCAAAGCTCTTCTGGGGTCAGGATAAATACTATCTTTAGATAATCTCTAGAGTCACAACAACTTTTGGGAACCTCTGCATAGTAAAAGATTAAATGAGATAAAATGTTTTGTGTACTTTAACATTCCACAAAAATGCTAGCTACTGTTGTTATTAATTGCAAAAGGAAACATGAACTTCTGATAGAATGGTTGGAAGATTGGTGATAGAGGAAGAAGTGGAAGAAATGGCCATCAGGGATACCAACCATTGGATCATGCTTGTGATAGAACAAAAAGCATCCTATTAAAAAGTGTGGTAAGTGAACTACATCGGAAAGAACATTAGATGAGGAGCAGATCATATTTTGAGTTCTTTTGCTAACTATCTATGTGACCTTGGACAAGTCACTTACCCTCCCCAAGATTTAGTTTCTTTTCCTATGAAAATGAAGAACTTGGCTTAAATAAACTCTAAGGTACCTCCTGGTTTTAAAATATTAAACTACTTGAAATGTACATGGTGATATTTTGGTGTATACAGGTGTATCGTGGTGGGAGAAAGCAAGCAGAAGAATAAAATGAATAAGTAAAATTGGGGGAGCAGAGGGGTAAGAGAATTTCTTCAATCCTAAAAGAAACACTTTTTTGATATGTAAGGGTAAGAGAGTAAGGGCAACTACAGAGGAGAAGGAAATTCCCTTTTGTTGTCTTAGCTGCCCTAAAGATGTGTCCCTACTTTTAGGTAGCCTTTTGGGCAAAACCACAGAGAGGAGCACAAATGTACATATGAGTGGAACATCTGCTCTGGGCAACAGATATGAGAAATGACCTCTAGTCAGCCTGCTAAGAATGCTAAATTGGCTGCTGTCTTTTTAGCCTGGGAGCTCCAACCACCTTGCTCCTGGGTAAATTCATCTCAAGACTTTGCCTGGAGCTGTCAAGTGAATGAATGCCAATGTTCCAACTTATACATTAGTGGCTGTAGAGGTCAATTTAAGTTTATTTCTCTTCTATTGCCAATTCAATTCAACCAACATTCATTAATAATAATGATAACAATAATAATGATAGCAATAATATCAATCATATATAAACCCCAGTGTTTGGCATGGAAAGCTCTTCATAAGCCAACCCAGTCCTGTCTTTCTGGTCTCACACATTAGTTCCCTCTATGAATGCTACAGTCCAGCCATGCTTGTTGTTCTTTTCACACAATATTTCATCTTTTGTCTCCATGTCATCGCATAATGTTTCCCTCCATACCTTGGCCCCTTAGAATCCCTCACTTCCTTCCAGATTCAACTCAAATGTCATATTTTACAATAGGTTTCCCCCAATTTTCCTAAGTGTTAGCCTTTCTTTCCAAGGCTAACTTCCATCTTTTTATATTTGTTTATTATATTTAATTATATATTATATTTTAATTACATATTACTCATACTTATATATTCTGATTTACATCTGTTATCATTTATGTACATGTTTTCTCAGTCATTGGAAAGTAATCTCCTTAAGGAGAAGGACTATATTATCTTTTTTTCTTGTAATTCTCAGTGATTAGCATACTTCCTGGCTCACACAGTAAGTACTTAATAAATGTTTATGGATTAAAAATCTAAGCTAACACTTACATGACCTTGTAAGGTTTATAGTAAAAATAGTCTACTTGACAGCAAGTCCAACAACCGATCTACCATACTCAAGCACTATGTTAGACACTGGGGATTTGAAGACATAAACACAGTTATCTCTGCCCTTGAGGAGCATGCATTTCGCTATAGGACTAGTTTCTGGGATCATAGATCTGGAGGTGCAAGGGTTCTTAGAGGGCATATAGATTAAGCCCCTCATTTTACAGAAGAGAAAACTGAGGCTCAAAGTGGTTGTGACTTGCCCAAAATCACATAGATGACAGAGTCAGCACTTGAACTCAGGTCTTCTGACTTCAAATTCAGTGTACTTTCTACTGTATGTATAGAAATAAATTAATGTGAAGTATATCCAGTAATTTCAAGAGGGAATAGAAACAATAATTGGGGATCAGAAAAGGCCCCTTTGGAGGTGTCACCTTAGCTATGCTTTGAAGAAAATTATAAATATTCCCATAGAATACCTGGATGTATAACTTCAGTGGTCTTTAGTTTTCTTATCAACAGTAAATGGGACTGGACTTAATGACATCTAAGGTCTCCTCTAGCTCTAAAGTTAGATATATAATGGCACTTTCCAAAGTAAAAGGTATCTTCTGGGCAGCTAGGTGACACAGTGAATGGAGCACTGGGCTTGGAGTCAGAAAGTCTCATCTCCCTGAATTCAAATCTGGCCTCACACTAGCTGTGTGACCTTGGCCAAGTCACTTAACTCTGTTAGCCTCAGTTTCCTCATTTGTGAAATGAACTAGAGAAGGAAATGGCAAACCATTTCAGTATCTTTACCAAGAAAATCCCAAATGGGGTCATAGAGTTGGACACAGCTGAAAAATGACTTAACAACAACAAGGTCTCATCTAGCTCTAAAATTAGGTGTACAATAACACTTTCCAAAGTAAAATTAGTCACCAGGACTGAATGTTGATGTACATGTCTGCAAAAATAAACATACACAGTACCTCTTGGCCTTTGGCTTTAAGCATTTGGTCTTTTACCTGGGCCACAAGAACAGTTCCTAAGTGTTCTTTGTTTTCCATAAAGGGCTGAAGAACAAATTTGCCATTGTGAGCCATTTAATTTAGTAGTTGATTGGAAAACAATGTGACAAACAGCAAAAAAAAGTGAACTATTTTCTTGGAGAAAAGAGATTTCTGAAAGCAAAAAGAATCCATGTTTATAAAACCCTTCCCTTTCTTTTGTTACTAAAAGTTTCATCATGCACTAAATGCTAAAAATATAGGGGGAGGAGGATGTCAATTACATTTTCATACTCATATTTTAACAGCAGGAGGCTTTTTTAGGTGACAATTTCTAAATTATTTGCATGAGAACCATATGAGGAAGGAGGGGGAAAATAAATAAAATAAAGTTCATAGAAATATAGATTCAGGAAAGTTTGGAGGGCCAGCTACAGGGGGTTTTGTCAAAATATTCAGGCAGACCGGTGATGCACAAAGTAGTGTCATTCATCGTGAAGCATCTCAGTTCCCTTAACGGGATGTGTAGGGCAGGACCATGGGGGAGCACATACAATAAGGGAAGGGTATAACAAGGTCTCTTACAAGGATTTTGGGTAGGTTTAATCTGTGCCATGGCAAAAGAAGGAAGGGGAGGCAATGATACTTTGGAGAGTTTGTACTAAGATAAGACCCAGCTCTAGCTCTGTGAATATCTCTATGATTCCTCCTGATCAGGGAATCATGCCTTGGTCACAGCCATGTGGTTATTAGGACAACAAATTGTGGCAGACAAAGGTGATGAGTTTTATTTTATTCTGGGTAGCGATTTCTTGTGTAGGTGCATCTGGATTGCCACCTGTGATGTGACAGGTAATACTATCAGGTATTGGCCAGGATATGTCCAGCTCAACCAAAGAGGAAGTGTAAGCCTGAGGGAGACAAGAAGTGGAAGGAATTTGTTAGACAGAAGGAGTGGGGAGTGTGCTGTATCCATAACTGAGGTGGTGGCCCACAAGTGAACTTGGGTGAGCCGTATGAGTTCCAAAAGGTTCATAAGCTCCAGGTTTCTTAAGTTATCACAGTGGTATAAATGAGATTTTATGAGAGGAATGTTCCCAAATACTTCATAGAAGTTGAAGCATTTGAAAAAAATACTCATTTATATGTTCATTCATTGGACCAATATTCATTGAATACCTTCTGTGATGACTAGCATGATTCCCAAACTAACAGAATATATTTTTTTTAACTTTCACTGACAGAGTGAGCCTCATCCTATGTGCAGAGTCCAGTATGGAATTATATAAGGGAGATATAAGGCCCTCTGGATTCATAGATTGGTCATTGGCGTCAAACCATGGTTATTGCTGGTTCTCATAATGTATGCTGGTTTTAATGATTGAGCTCTTTCATGTTCCTTAGGCCCAGAATTCTTAGACCCTAGCTCTAGCACTGAGGATTACCTCTTTCCTTCTCCATATCCCCATGTACCCTACTCTCAGCTTCTGTACTCAACTCAATCCCCAACACCCCTGGTACTAGAATTTCTATTTCCCTGATGGTATGTTCTGTTTGTCAGTTGGGCATCCACCTGCTGTGGCTTTGTCCTCTCTGGTACAGTCTGACTCATACAATCTTGCTATGCCTTACCTTTTCAACCTCATGTTATGCTCCACCCCTCCACAAACTCTGTTCCTGTTGAACTGTACTATTATCTGTTTACTCAACTTGATAATGGGCAGCTATGTGGCTCAGTGGTTAGAGTGCTGGTCTTGGAGTCAGGAACATTCATCTTCCTGAGTTTAAATCTGGCCTCAGATACTTACAAGCTGTGTGACCCTGTAAAGTCACTTAAACCTGTTTGCCTCAGTTTCCTCATCTGTAAAATGAGGGGGAGAAGGAAATGGCAAACCACTCCAGTATCTTTGTCAAGAAAACCTCACAGGGGTCACGAAGAGTCAGATGTGACTGAAAAATGACTGAAACAACAACAAACTTAATATTTCATCTTCACCTTTGCAAAATCCATTCACCCCCTCTTCATTACTGACTCTCAGCAGACATTCTGGGCCTGGCTTTGGCCAATCTCCTGGTAGTTTAGGTTTGACACTGAAACAAAATGAGACAGTTGTCAGTCATTTAAAAGCTATTAACAAAGGGAGATTTACCTAGCAGGAGAAGGATATTCAACAAGGCTAGGCATTACACATATAACCTATATCAGAATGCTTGCCATCTTGAGAAGTAGGAATGGGATGGAATGGGTAAGGAAAGGGAAAAAAATTGAAACTCAAGATCTTACAAAAAATAAATGTTGAAAACCATCTTTACGTGTAATTGGAAAAAATAAAATACTAACCAACACATACACATATGTATAATAAACTTATCAGGATAAAAAAACAAACAAAAACAACAAACAATGCTAGGCATTGGGAATCCCCTGAACCGATTCAGATGAGTAAAGCTGCAATCAAAATTCACCAGCTAAGTATCACAGAGCCCCTTTAGCTCTCTATGGTTGCTGTGTGCTCAGGTGATGAGAAAGTGATGTAAATAATCTGAGCCCTTGGTCTCCTATCCCCTGAGCCAACCAAATCTTGGGTAATGCCTCAATGACCTTGAGGAGGAAAAAAACTCAACCTAGATGAGGGGGTGGAGTTGGGATATTGCCCCTTCACCTTTTACCCTTCAAGGCTCAATTTAAATTCTGCCTTCCTGGTGAAGCCTTCACAGATCTCTCTCCTCCTCCTAATTGTAAATGTTCTCTCCTTTCTCAGACGCTATAGAACAATAATTCTTTGTATACACATTGTATCTCTAGTTCTTCTTCTCCTCTACCTTTTTCCCTCAGGAAAACATAAATTTATTGAGATCAGAAACTTTTAGTTTTTCTTTGAATTCCCAATTCTTAGCCCATTATATTGTGTTCAATTGTTTGATAAATGCTTGTTGGATTAAACTGAATATTCCATTTATCTGGATTTTCTCTCATTCTCTGCTTTTGAGACCTTCCTTGATCATCTGGCCCACACCGGTATCTAGTGTATATGGGATCTGCATATCCTTAAAAAGGAAAGACAAATAACAACAACAAAATCCAATTTGTCAACTATTGAATTTTCAAATTCTGAAGTTACAAAGGGAGGAGGATATGAATCCTGAAATGGGATAGTTAAGATAATCATGACAAAGATTGGAGAGAGATGTAAATAATTGGCATTACCTTAAAATGAGAAGAAATGGAATGAAGGGTGGGGAGTGCAGTGAATGGCCTAGAAGTAACATTAGGATGAATGAAATAATGAATAAACAACATCAAGTAAACTGTGAAGCAAATGGGTAGGGCAATTGATAGAGTGCTGGGTTGGGAGTCAGGAGGACTTATGTTCAAATACAGGTCATCTTCAACATTAAAAACAAAAGGCTGGAGTGACAATTTGTGCCTTCTCCAAGACATTCTTTTCCTCTGGTTGCCATAGAAATTAATATGCCAATTGTAGATCACTGATTTAGCCAGGTGTCCTAAACCTCTTCTGGGGAACAATTTTTTAGCCCAATTTGAATGGTTGTATGTACTTGGGTTGAAATTGCATTTCTTTTTCAATTTGAAGTCCTTTGATTCAGATGAGTATTCCATTGAATTATTTAGTTACTGAGGTTTTTATTTTTGTGGTGCTTATGTTCTCCGTATAAAAGAGATACTTTTCAGAAGCAGTGACCAAGGTTAGGTCTTTAAGAAAAGGCCAAGGGGCAGCTAGGTGGTGCTGCGGATAGAGCACTGGCCCTTGACTCAGGAAGACCTGAGTTCAAACCCGTCCCCAGACACATAACATTTACTAGCTGTGTGACTCTGGGCAAGTCACTTAACCCCGTTGCTTAGCCAAAAAAGGAAAAAGAAAAGGGCAAATGACTGCTTGTCATGTATGTGGAAAGTCACCCTTTTTCTGTGGCTTGAACTAGATGGTTGCTGAGATTATTCTCAACTTTTAAATTCTGTGATTCTGTGACTAGAAAGCTAAGTTCATGGATCTTTGGAAATGGATGAGACTTTAGAGAGCATCTACTTTCCCTACGTAAAAATCTCTTCCACTGTATTCCAATATCTGCTTGAACACTTACAGTGACAGGAAGTTTACTACTTTAAGACAATCTGTTTTATTAAAGAACCATTCTAATTTCTACAAAGTTCCTTCTTTCTATTGTGCTAAAATATATGGTCCTAGACTTTTAGAAGATGCAGTATCTAGACATTCTAGGCTTCTAGAGGTACTAACACCTCCATGGTCTCTCCTTTGTGAGATCTCCATGTAGTTTCTGATTTTGAGTAGTATGTTACCAGCATTTAGATTTCCAAAACAAGAGGTTTAGGGGACAATGAGTAGGATGGATTTGGAAAACAAAACTGGAACCATTTAGGAAATGGTGATGGAAATATGATTTAGAGTTTAAGGAATTCAATTTAACAACAATTTATTAAGTACCTACCATGTGTAAGACATTATATTAGTCTATACTAAATTAAAAAAGAGTAATAGTCTTTACCTCAAGGACCTAATTTTTAGCAGAGGAATTCTTAAACTGGGGTACATGAACTTTTAAAATTTTGGTATCTATTTTAATATAGTTTCCTCTGTATTCATGTATATTTTGTGTATTTTTAAAAAAATTAGTATGAGTCCATACTTTTCTTTCTATTCCATTTTATACTGGTAAAGGCATCTGTGACACACAAAAAGATTATCAAGACCTATACTAGAGGATATAGCTTGTAAACTTGTATAAATAAAGAAATACGAGATAATTTGGGGAAGGAGAGAATTCTAACAGTTAAGGGCTTGCTATTGGAGATGTTAAACTCATTTGCCCAGTCAATCAATCATCCATTAGAAAGTCAACCTTTATTAAGGATCTACTATGTGTCAGGCACTACGCTAAGCATGAGAGATACAAAATGAGGCAAAGGACAGTCCCTGCCCTCAAGAAGCTTACAATCTAATGGGGGAGAAAACATGCAAAACCATATATACAAAGAAAGCTATATACAGGATAAATAGGAAATAATTAATAGAAGTAGGCACTAGAATTAAGAGGGATTGAGGAAGGCTTCTTGTATAAGGTGGAATTTTAGTTGGGACTTAAAGGAAACCAGGGAGGTCAGTAGGAGGAGTGGAAGAGGGAGAGAATTTCAGTCATAGGGGATAGACAGAGAAAATACACAAAGCCAAGGGATGGAGCGTCTTGTTTGTGGAACAACCAGGCCAGTGTCGTTAGACTGATGAATATGTTTTGGGAGTAACGTTTGGGAATACTGGGAAGGTGGAAGGATGCTAGGTTATTAAGGGCTTTGAATTTCAAATGGAGCAGTTTGTATTTGGTCCTTGGAGGCAATAGGGAGCCACTGGAGTTTATTGAGTTTATTGAATTCAATAAACTTAGCTTCAACTCCTAGATAAATTATAGAATTGATTATTGAAGTATGTGGCGAACATCTAGAAAAAGAAGCAATGACCACAAAGAGCCAGGATGACTCTTCATCAAAGACTGGTTATGCCAGAATAATCTTATTTATTTTTGATGGGATTATTAAATTAGTATATGAGGAGAATTATGTGGATATAGTTGACTTCATCTGTGTTGCACATACATTGTGTTCAACTCTGGGCACTGTGGTTTTATGAGCACATTTATTTGCATTAAAGTTAACAGAGGAAGGCAACAAGGATGGAGAAGACCCTTGAATCCATGACATACGATGATTAGTCAAAGGAACTGGGCATGTTTAACCTGGTGAAAGAAGACTTGAGGAGATACAATAACTGGTCTTCAATTATTTTAAGAGATGCTTTGTGGAGATGTCATTAGACTCATTTGCTTGGTCCCGGAGGACAGAGCCAGAACCAGTGGGTAGCAGTTGCAAAGAAGTCAGTTTAGGCTTGATATCAAGAGGAAATATTGAAAACCACTAAACTTCCTAGCAAATAAAATTATCTGAAAGTGGAACAGTCTACCTTGAGATATGATGAGTTCCACCTTCTTGAAAGTCTTCAAGAAGCTGAATGACAACTTATTGGTGATGATATAATGGTAATTGCCTTTGTGGATGAGTTGGGCTAAATAAATGCTGAAATCCATTCCAACTGCCTACTGTTGTGATCCTGCAAGATGATACCTGGACTGTCCCTTGAAGTAGGTTAAGTATTTACGAGGTAGAGGTGAGTAAGGATTATATTACAGGCACAAGGAAACAGCTTATGCAAAGACTAGGCAATGGAATGTCAAATTCCAAGAATAACACAAAAGTAAATTTGGCTGCAAAGAAGCATACATGAAGGAGAGTAGTGTCAAATAATAGTAGAAAAGTAGACAGGAGACAGATTCTCCTTAAATATAAAGCTAAAGAACTTGCATTTTATCAAAGAGAGATTTTTAGATGTTTTAGAGAGATTATTTTACCAATTGTGGAGGACCAATTGGAGAGAGAACAGACTATTATCAGGAGTATATATTAGGGAACAATGGTGACAAGGGGCAGCTAGGTGGACAGGACAGCTAGGTGGCACAATGGCTAGAGCACTGGGCTTGAAATCAGGAAGATTCACCTTCATGAGAAATCTTGTAAAATGATCTGGAGAGGGAAATGGTTAACCACTTTATTAACTGCAAAAAAAAAAAAAAAAGCCCAAATGGGATCACAAAAAGTTGGACACAACTGAAACAACTGAACGACAATGGTAACCCACAGCCTGAGATAGGATGGCAGCTGTATTAATGGAGAGAAGAGGAATATGTGAGGCATTGTAGCAGGACAATTGATAAAATGTGGCCACTAATTATATGTGGAAGGTTATGAAGAGGAGAAGGTTGAGGATAACTTTGTAATTCTAAAGCTTGAAGATCCAAATTTCTCATTTTATGGATGAAAAATTTGAGGGAGAGAAAGGTATAGCAAGTAAGTAAAGAAAGTGAGAAGCAGGACTAAGATTCAAGGAAAGTCCCATGACTCATTGGAAGTCTTTATGTAAAGGCTGGTTGACCATTTGCTGTGGATGTGGTAGAAGAGATTCTTGTACTAGTAATACGTTGGACTCAGTGGCCTCTGAAGTTTA